AATCAGAACTTCCACATACTTATCAGACATATCAGACTGATATTTAACAATTAACAGCAGCATACCAGTACAAGATGATTACTTCATTACTTCACACATACTCCATGCTCCACAGTGAACAATCCAGATTCCAGACCCCAGACCATGAAATTAACATATTGGATATTTCATCCTGTATAAGTAAACTGTAAAAGTAAATACTCATAAACTTTAGAAGTAAATACTCATAAACAGTTTAAGGTATGCAAAGTTAGGCTCAGATTGATTCCAAGTTATCTCACATATGATCTTACAAAGGATATGGGCATACTATCCAAACAGGATTAACACCAACACAATCATCCATGAGTCATGGGATAATTAGTCAAAAGTTTAAAGTGAAAACTCTAAACCCTGGAAACATTCATCATAGCCAAATGTGTGTTCATATCATCATAGGTATGAACTGTAACATAAAAGTGGTTTACCATGCAAGCTTTCCAAGGGACCAAGGGACAAACGGATAAGGGGCCAATAACATTGTACCAAGTGGGCACTGGAATGAGTGAAATCTTAATTCCATCATAGTAGTGCACTAGTTCTTTCCAGTTCCACAATGAGGCATCATAGTCAGATTATCAAATATTCAAATTCATTATGAAATGCTTCACAAATTAATTCCAAAAATTAGCAATGCAAACAAAAAGTGTACCCTCAATGGGCCATTAGAGGATCCAATAGCCCCAGTAGCAGCACTACCAAGATTTACATCTGTTAATTCTGTAAAACAAAGAAATAGCAGTGTTAGAAATGAAAAATGAAAACATTCTATTGCAAATTATGTTTAAATAAACAAAAAAGGCATAACAGTACTACCTTTTTCTAATCTGTCCACATCATCCATGTTTTCTTCAACTGAAATAGGCTGGTTAGCCATTCTCAACCAATTTTGTGCACATATAAGGGCTTCCACAATTTTGGGACTTAAAGAACTTCTAAAACAGTCCAAAACCCTACCACTGGTGCTGAATGTGGACTCAGAAGCTACTGTGGAGATTGGAATACCAAGTACACCTCTAGCCATCTTAGATAGAATAGGAAATCTTTCACTATTTAACTTCCACCATCTCAGTATATCAAAGTTCATATCTTTCTCAATTATTGACTCTTCAAGATATATATCAAGTTCAGTTTTTTTAACTCCTAACTGACCATTCTCTAGTTTTTTTTTTTTTAACTCAGCCTTAAATCTTGACACTGGCATGTGCTCAGCATTATTGACTTCCACAGATGCAGCACTATGTGAACTAGAATTAGAACTTCCACCAACACAATCAAAGTATGTAACAACATAATCAGCATATAACTCAATGAGGCCAGACTTCACTTTGGCAAAAAACAAAGCACCCATTTTTTCACCATATAAAGCATTGAGCTGAAATGGCATATACTCATACTTGTCCCTAGGGTCTAACACATTAGCAAAGAAGATCAAGGAGTTCATTTTTTCAGGATCACCCCAGTACTTGTCCAACTTTGCTTTCATAGTAGTCCCCATTGCACTGACAGAAGCAGATGGAGAGGCAACCATGTCTTTTAGGACAAGGAACAAATCAGATATTTCAGAAAAGAAGGTATTGGAAGTAACATAGAGTGCGCCAGAAACTCTAAGAGTCAATTCATAAAAATTTTGTAAAATGGTCACAAAAGTTTCAACTGCAATCCAGTCTAAAACATCAGGAATGTCACTACCCAAATCAGTACCAAATGCACTCTCATTCTCCTCATACGCTTCAAACACTTTCTCATTAGAAATAGCAGATTTAAGCATCAGGTAAGTGGAATTCCACCTAGTTGGAACATCCAGGTGCAGACCACACTTAGCTTCCACTCCTATCAAGTTAGATATATCTTTGAACTTCTGTAGTCTAGCAGGTGAGTTCCTAACATACTTAACAGCTTCCCTAATTCTCTTAACAGAACTATCAGCATCTTTAAGCCCATCTTGGACAACTAAATTCAAAATGTGTGTAATGCAACACATATGAACATACTTGACTTTCACAGAAGAAGCACCCCAAGACATCAATTTTTTCTTAAAAAACCCAACAGCAGTATCATTACTACTAGCATTATCTACTGTCACAGTGAAAATGTTTCTCAGACCCCACTCAAGCAAACAAGTCTCTAGGGCTTTAGCTAGGTACTCCCCTTTGTGAGAAGTGACAGGGACAAAGGAAATGACTCTTTTCTGAAGCTTCCACTGATCATCAATGAAATGAGCAGTTATACACATGTAATTTATCCTCTGTACAGAGGTCCATGTATCAGTGGTAATACTGACTCTTTGACTGTGTTCCCTGAACATCTTTTTTTGGATAAGTCTTTCATCAAGGTATATTTGATAGATGTCTCTAGCAATTGTCCACCTAGAAGGTATTACAAATCTAGGACATGCTACTGACATAAACTTCCTAAAACCTTGTCTGTCTACAAATCTAAAAGAAAGCTCATCAATGATTAGCATTTCTCCTAGAGCTCTCCTAGTAGCATCTTGATCAAAGACCCAGGTTCCTATGACCCCAACATTTTCAGAAGGTTGACCATGCTGTGGAGGGACTGATTGAAAGGTTAAAAGGGTCTGTCTAGTGTCTTTAGCATGAGGGTTTTTTAAGCAGCTAAGCATGTGATTCCTGATGGAGGAAGTACCATGCTTTTTTGAGTGACAACAATAAATTTTGGCACAATAATCACATTTGCCCTTAATAACCACACTGTTGCTATCCTTAATCTTGGAAAAGTGCTCCCAAATCTTAGATCTGACTGTATTGACTTCAACCTTTTTCCTTTTTTGTCCAGAAACAGGAGGTGGTTCTGTGACTCCAGATGGGTCATTGGTAGTGTTAGGATCACCAATTTCAGCTTCCACCACTGTTTCTTGACTCAAAGGAGGTTGACTTCCAGATAAAGATATGTTCCCACTTTCAAGAGTTTGACCTTCCATCTATGCACATAATATCAGGGTAGCTTCCACTCATCATCAATTCATCATACATGATAGGCAACATATATATCACACATTCATAAACAGGCAACAATTTATGTCATATAGTTAAGTTTACACCTCAAGTAACACCATACATGATACACTAAGTCTGGAACAATCAGCAAACTGATCTACAGAAGGATAATATGCATTGTGCATAATCACTTCTCTACAGACTTGGAAGAAACCAGTCAACTCTCATTACTCCTTTGAGTACAAGAGTTAAAAAAGGCTTCTTCATCAACAATCAATACATAAGTGCAGTTATCTACAAATAGGCAACACAATAGACATTCAGAAATGAGAAATAGGCAACCCATTCACATCATAAGCTTCCACATGATAAGTGATGTTTATCAGTTTATGTCATATAGTTAAGATTACACTTCAAGTAACACCATACATGATACACTAAGTCTGGAACAATCAGCAAGCTGATCTACAGAAGGATAATATGCATTGTGCATAATCACTTCTCTACAGACTGGGAAGAAACCAGTCAACTCTCATTACTCCTTTGAGTACAGGAGTTAAAAAAGGCTTCTTCATCAACAATCAGTACATAAGTGCAGTTATCTACAAATAGGCAACACAATAGACATTCAGAAATGAGAAATAGGCAACCCATTCACATCATAAGCTTCCACATGATAAGTGATCAGATGTCATTGTACATTCAGAAAACAAGTAACCAAATAACCAATTCATGTTGACATGTCTAGGTATAAGACAAATAATAATATCATACCAGGGTGGCTTCCACTCATGACTCATCATCAATTCATCATAGTATATTAGTATTATGGGCAACACATTGCAAATTAAAACAATAATACATCATAACCAAAACAGTTTATTGACATTGTACATTCAGAATTCAGAAAACTCTCAAGTCTCAACCAAATCACTTAATAAGTAATTCATCATCATTCTAAGGTGTTCACACAGTGACACTCAGAATTCAGAAACACCCATTTCATCATCACTCTGATGTACAAAGTCCACAAACATGTCAAACAACAATACCTTATTCAAGCTTCCACATATCAGTATATCACATATGCATATACAATTACACATTTACACATAATACATTGGGTCAAACTTCAATTTCATCATCAAACAATGCTTCCACAGTTCCACGTTCCAACATGCATAAGTATTTATTATTTTATACCTCAGTGACTCAGTGGTTCTCAAAGCTTAAGGAAAATATAATATATCACAACTGCAGAAGGACAGAGTTTAAGGATTTCAGAGTTCGGACTATGGGCTTGAGGGCTTCCACAGTTCCACCGGAACAACAGTCCACCACCACAGAACCACGCACTCGTCTATAACTTTCTCAATTCTCAGAACACAGATGGACAACAACAGATGAAGATAAACCAACATATCAAGTATCAAAGACAGACATAAGTCATAAATTCATAATACGAATTACGAACCGAGAAGTCTGAGACAATCATACAAACAAACAAACAAGTGTAGAACTAGAGAAGTGCTTTACTCAATCGGCTCAGACAACAAAGTCGGGTACCCAGCAACGAGCCAACGACGGCCAAGTCTGAGAGAGTGAGAGTCAGAAAAGTAGAGAATCGAGAAGTGAGAATTAGGGTTTCGAAGGAAAGAGGCGCTGAAGTCTGAAGCAGTGAAGTGAGAAGTGATGCGGTGATGCCCGATAATTAGGTTAAAGGGTGTAGGGTTGGGCACTTGGGCGGTTGGGTTAATGGGTTATGTGTTATTGGGTTAGGATTAGTATATATATTAATATATATTGGGCCTGTAAAATCGGGTGGTCGGGCGGGTCGGGTAGGAAAAGCCCAAACCCTACCCGAACCCCATAGGCAGCCCACCAACAGGCGGGCTGGTTCGGTTGGTCACTTTCGGGTCGGGTAATCCGACCCAAAGCCCACGGATCGGATAAATCCGATAGGGTCGTTCGGGTTGGGTCGGGTATGCTCAGCCCTATAAACTTGGTCGCAGGAAAGATCTGTTATCTTTTAGGACCGAAACCGCACTGCTTTATCCACTCTTTTCCAGCCTTTCCTTTCATCACCTCCGGCGGCAATGGCTGCTTCTTCTCCAACTATAATCCCTACCCTGTCAACGTCCCGCTTGTCCAAGACACCGGTGTCTTGCTCTTCTTCTCCCTCACTCACTGCCTTCAACGTATTCCCCAGTGCCTTAAGGCCTCTGGTGCTCCACACGAAGAGGAACAGACATTCTGAGGTGCTCGCCAATGCCCAGCAGACTTTTGAATTCTCCGGCGGTTCATTATTCGATTCCGAGTTCGAAGACGATGACGAGCCACCATCTACCCCCGGTTGGGGCATTCCCGATATAGAAGATAGAGAGGAGCCCCAGTGTCCTCCAGGGCTGAGGCAGTATGAAACGATGACGGTTTTGAGGCCCGACATGTCTGAAAATGAACGGTTAGCACTCATCCAGAAATATGAAGAGGTATTCAACTAAACGCTTCCCTTCTTTGCTCAATTTATGCATTTATTTGAATCGCAGTAACATTAGTAGAATAAAAGAGAGAGCTTCTTTGGCTCCCAATTTAAGATATTTCATAACCAGATAATCAGATCTCCATATAAATAGTGTGCCAAGATTGAAAATTTTTATTGCATTTTGCAGTCAACTACTCCTTTTTAGGTCAAAATTATTAAATACAGAATACTGATTATACTGGCGAGTGAAGTAGTTGTATTACTATTAAGTCTAGTTCATTCGGTTGTAATGTTAGTAATGTAGCTCGTTGGAATTATTATTTTAATTTGCCAATTAGGGTTAGTTTTCCTTTATCCATTAGTATTAGTAGTTTAGTTTACTTTTGCCATTGTATTATATGCAGTAGCTGCTAGGGTAACCCCCACTGGTAATTCTTTTTCATGCCCACTCCTAAGCAGAGGATTAAAGGGGATGGTTTACCCATTTTTATTGGTAATGGAGGATCTTGCAAATTCCTTTACATGAATGCATAAATGAATCTTTTATTTGGGTGATTGGGTCATCCCTTAATCAATTTATTATAGGTGCTTGAGAGCCTAAAACCAATGCTCCATAACATGTAACTCATCTCACAACTTCAGTAACTAATTTTACAACTGTACCAACAGTTACAGAGACATGGAGTTACACAGATATAACACTCTTTAACCTATATATGTGTCTTTTGTTCTTCTTCAGTTTAGAGACAAAACATGCTCCACAATTTTTTTATTTAGTTTTATTCCACAGAAATAATTAAATTTTTTTATATCTTCCCAGGCCTTAATTAGATTATACTACGTATATAGTACACATTAGGCTCTTGATATCACATCTAGTGATATCACTTCAATAGCTTATCTTCAGTCTACCTGACCATATTTTTCTTTTCTAGCTGTGAACCTTAGGCACTGTTTGGCCTAGTAGTGAAAAAGTTATTTGAGCGAATGCAAATTAAACAAGAGTGTTTTAAATATAAGTGTTATTGAGCTAACACAGTTGGGTATTTAACCTACTTAATTATAAATGTTTTATTAAATCTAGAAGAGTAACAATTGTTTTTGAAAAATAGGTAAGGATAATTTGTATCATGGATAGTTTAAAAAAGTGTATTTAGAAGTTCTTTTTAGTAAAAGCACTTTCCAAAACAGACCAAACATACAACTTTCAGTTTTTAGATTCTCTTAAATCGCTTGTAGACCACTCCTAGGCTAAATGTAGCCTTACTTTCTGGTATTCACTTGTTCTTTATTCCCTGTCATATGTAGATAAGACATGTAGCCTTATGCTAATAACTAAACATTATATGTTGAGTTGGTCATTATGATAGCTTGACTCAAACAAATCAATTTGATCCGTGAGATAAAAGATTCCTCAAATCCAATTGAAAGCTGAAACGATAAGAGTTTTTCCCCGTTACATTTATCTGTATGGTGAAATACTGAAATGGTAGCATTACACACACCCATCTATATTGGAATTGACTCTTTAGCATCTTATTGGATAGTAGGAAGGTGATGATAATACTCTTTTGCTTGTGACAGAGCTTATATTTAGATATTTTAAGCATCAGTCTATTGCTCTAGTATAATTACCTGAAAGTTGAAAATTGGACATAATAAGCACTTTAATATCTGATTCTTATTGATGAGTCAATTATTAAATCAAGTATATACGTCATTGGTAAAAATGTTTTTGTCCTGTGTTATTTATAAGTCGTGGAGATGCCTATAAAATATCTAAAGTTACCAATTAATACAGGATTAAGTTTGCGGAGTCTTATGACTTTCATATGGAGTCATATTGACATATTGTTCACTTGACCTCATCATCACCATTCATTTGCATAGTGGGATGACACCATTATAAAATATAATGGTGTCATCAGACCCGACATCACCCTTTTGTTTGAATATTTCTGTTTTGGTCTAGCGTAGTCAATTTTTTTGTGTAATCAGGTGTGGTCAGTTAAAATAAGTATTAAGGAAAAAAGGGTGAAGACAGCACCACCTAAATTATTTAGTTTCACACCTTTCTCAATTCTCAATAAGGCATGTTTAATTCATTCTAAAAGTAATACCAAATTCCTTAATCACAATATTATTGAGTAAAATCTTTTGGGCATGGCTGAGTTTTCCAAACATTGTTTATCAATCTGTTCCTGTTTTTTTCTTGTAGTTGCTTGTTGCTGGGGGTGGTGTGTATGTGGAGGTGTTCAATCGAGGGATTGTTCCTCTTGCTTATGGTATTAAGAAGAAAAACAAAGCAGGAGAGACCAACATATACTTTGATGGAATCTATATCTTGTTCACATATTTTACCAAACCAGAGTCCCTAGAAGAACTAAAGGAGATGCTGAATGCTGATGATGATGTCATCCGTTCAACCAGTTTCAAGATAAGGAAAAGGAAGTATTGATTTCTTGCATGGCTCATGAAGTGACTATTCATTCCAGGTTTAGGCATTTAGTATGAACTTGCTGCCTGGAATAATGAGTCCCCTAGACTCATTATTTTCCCCTAGTGATTGCTATCATGTTTTGGAGCAGCTGTGCATATGATATTGGATTATGAAAATCTGATTGATCTATGTGTCCTGCGCCAATCACATGTTCTAAATAGTAATTGCAACTAATTATTAATCACATATGCATCCTTTTCCTGTGCCTTTTTTCTTAATCATATCAATACAATCACAGGCCAGTTCGGGTCTGAAAACTGGAAGAGCCTTAGCTGGAATGGGTATTAATACTGGTTGACCAGGAAAATTGAGTTAAAAATCCAGAACAGGGATATGAAAACCGATTACGGACCCACTTCATTGCAACCCTAACTGGCCCAACCTTCATCAGTTGCTTGTCCGGTTCAAGCCCGGAAAAGCATTTTTTTGGGTAAAAAAACCTCACAGCCTTAGCCAGGTTCTGGTTTGGAGTCGGACTGTCGAAGCCATGTCCAAAGAGTACTTAATGTTGGGAATTGACTTGAACAAGAAAAAACTAAACCAGGAGCTAAATATATCAGTTCCGGGCCTCTTTGATTGTAACTCCTAGAGACCAATTACCTGTCAGGCTGTCATGTTTTCTTACCTGACAGGTAACTCCTAATGTACTCTCTCAGTAGTTTCTCTGTTCATTGAAACTTTGCCAACTTTCCCTTTTTAGTTGTCTCATTAACTTTGTTGCTTTCCCTTTTAAGCAAAGAATTTTTTGCTCGTGCTAGTCGAAACTTGACCAAGTTTTAAGGGACGCAAGGAGTATAAATAAGCCTACATGCCACTCCTACTGTAGAAACGATTGTCATGTAACACCTAATGTTAAGGGTGCGTTTTCTCTGTTTGAAGTTTTTGAGTTGAGACCATGTCCAAGCCTACGTGGTGGTGAGATTTGATTGATTCAGGTTTGAGGTTCAGCTTTAGGGTGACTGAGACTCTGAGAGAAATGAGAGGAATCCTTACCATCCTCGCCTCACAAAAAGGTTTTATCCAGGAGAATATGGCATTTCCACATTATTGTTCCATTTCTAAATCCAAATGCTCCTTTGATTCTAAAAGTTTTTTTTTTTGAACCGTCTAAAAGTTTACTTATAGAGTAAGGCGTATAAAAATCATTTATTTATTTTATGAGCGTTAGGACAATTCTATGATATCTTGAGTGGTGATTTTGTTAACATTTTTTAATGCATCCTTGAAGGTTTAGTACTTTGAAAAAAGTTATAACATTTTCTTTAGTACTAAGAATGTATCTAGTTGTACTGATTTCAGTCTCAATTCTCAAACTAGACTAGATATGAATAAATCAGATTGGCCAAGTTTTATGTCGTACATAATAGTAATAACATACAAAGTACTATGTATAAAATAGATCTTTATCATATTAGATTAGACTAGACAAGAAGATGCCGTCTAAATGAAACTTTGACTCATTTACAAAAAGATGTCACTTTCTTTTCATTAACTTTTAGTAAGAATGACCAAAGATATGAAACAATGTGGAGATGATTTTAAAAAGTCACAAAATAATTTAAAACTCTAAATCTACTTCAATCACTTCTCTCTACATCATCAATTGGGCAACTGGCTAGCCATCAAACACCTTCATAACTTTTTCTAAATAATGGTTAAAAAAGTGATCGGAGCTTTCATTACCGGTATAGTTGCAGTCTTACTTATAGAGGTTGTAGTGACATTTTTTAGAGGAGTTATAGTGACATATACAATCACTTATTTATAATTTGAAAAAGTAATTAAGTTAATGTTTTTGGCTTTTCTTTAGACATAGTTACCGAAATCCCCAACTTTGATAAGATTAATTATCATTATTATATAAAGTCAATTTGTTTTTGAGTATGTATACATACACATTTTTTTTTCTTTTTCGAACTTTTATGAATAATTATAATTTTCAAAAACGCACAACTCGATCTAAAAAAGTTAAAATTTGAATAATAGAGTTCGCGTAAACTTTGTTGTAAGACATATTGAAATAATAGTGAATAATTTCCTCAACCTTTTTGAAAGAAAAAAATATGATTAATCTCTTACCTAAAAAATGTGACTAGTCTTTGTCTAATTCATTTATAATTTCTATCCTCCTAATTCATATCCAACTTCCTACCCATTATCACTCACTCTTCCATTCCCGGCCCACTACCCGAAATCACAACCTGTAATTGTCAAAAAATTTATTGAAGAAATTTAGCAGTGAATTTTTCCGGCAGTTATATTGACATATTTCACGATAGTAGTGATGCCAACGGTAAGTGACGATGAAACAATATATTGACAATGCCATAAAAACTGTCACTGACATAGTAAATTGATAGACACTCATAGTTTCCCCATATTATTATCTGCATTCCCTAGTATAGCATGATAAGTGTAAGATTGTCATTGCTACAAAAGTGATTTTTTATCTTTAATTTATGAGGTACTCCCCCCGTCCCTGAATTTACTTCTATAGTACAATTGGCACATGGATTAAGAAAGTGGGAAATGTGTGGTGGAGAGTTGTGCAGAAGAAAGAGAAATGTGTAAGAATTGCTATGAACCACAAATTCTATGTCAAAAAGGGAAAGTGAAATTCTTTTTTGGACGGACAAAAAGGGAAAGTTGGAAGTAAATTGAGGGAGTATCATTAAACTACTTGAGTGTGAGATCTTGATCCCCTTTTAGTTTGTGGATGACAAGAGGAATAGCATCCACATCACTTTGATGTGGTTGATAACTCTTCTCCTCTCTTAATATCCGTTAATCTTTGTTGATGTGATTCGTTGGTCTTCAATGTCATGCCAAATTCTTCAATATGATGCCAAATATTGCACACTTTGTAATATCTTTAGGATTGGAAATATTTCTTTTTTAATTTAATCTATCAAGGCGAAAGGATCTTCAAAGACCAATAGTACATAAATGTTTACAACCCCCTTCTTCGAATAGCTTAATTGCTATAGGTCATGTCTTAACACCTGAAAATCCTGAAATAGGCATCATAAAACTGGAAAGCTTTTAGAGCACAGTATATTTTCCCTATTTCTTGCTCCCTTCCAAGTTTCAACTCTTTTGTAGTATAACGCCTTATAGAATTGCATCATACAAATATGAGTTGTCTCGTGCATTTCTTTGCTAAAAAAGGCGAATATGATGTTACAACACTAACATATAGCACCTAAAATATTTAGAGTAAGTTAGGCTTCCTGATTGACTGCCACTTATACATATGCTTAAAACAAGAAAAGAAACAAAGTAGAAGGCATCTGGGGTGATATTTTGTAAAGTAAAAGTCCTGATGAAATCATAAAAGTTATCCTTAAAAGTTGTCCTATACGGAACACTTGAAATTTCATCTTTAAAAGTTAACCAAATAGAAGAGAGATCCTATCTCTCTGCCCTTAAAAACTTTCTAGTATCCTTGTTAAGATGTCCTTTACAAAGTTATCTTTCTCATCAATTTACTCTACTAGTTTTAGACTTTTAGTAATATTACCTCCGTCCAATTGGAAATTACAAAACATGTGTTTGGTATGAAATAAGAAGAGTGAAAATTTTGTGGTTGAGAATGGTAAAGAGAAGAGAGAAAAATTAAAATTACAAATTATTTACTTTAACGAGAAAGCGACGAAGTTTTTTGACGAATAAAAAAAGAAATTTGGCAATGTTCAATGAGACAAATGAAGTAATAATATGTCAAAAAGTGTTTACAGTGTACTCTATAATCTCATTTACCATCAGTAAAAGAACATTTCATGAAGCTAAAGAAAGAAAGTTTATATCAAGCGTGTAATTCAAACTAGGAACTTCTTTAAGGGGCATAAAGAGTACCAATATATCAGGACTCTTCTTAGTCCAAATTAACTTGATTGAAGGTGTAGTCCCAATTATATTAATTTAATACTATCCTATGTTTCTTTTTAGTTGCAACATTGAAAATTTTACACTATTCATATACTCTACTTTGATTACGTTTTATTTATTAATGTATGAGATATTTAATTTGAAAAACATTGTTCAATTAGTCTCATTACAAATTTTCATCATCCGATTTTTTATATTTTTTTACTGATGAAGAATTAAATATAATAACGATCAAAATTGTGCATTGGCAAGCATGGAAATGAGAATTTTGCAACTAAAAAAGAAGGGAGGAACTATATACTTTGTACATATGATGGATCACAACTTGAGGGTGGGGAGTTGGAGGTAGTGGGAAGCTATGAAAGGGATGATCACTTTGGCTGATCTTATAAGCATGCTTATTCCCAGGCCCAGCAGTACTCTTCTTCTTCTTCAACTCATCAAGTATTTGATTAATGGGGTTGCCTGAAGCAACTCCAAGCCCACCTCACTTGTATCCCCAGACAATTCAGCTCATAAAACTCTACCAGGCTTTCATATTCTCAATCCCAATTCTCTTCTCTATCATAGTGTTCCTTTTGCTTTACTTGTTCTATCTTAAGAGGAGGATTTCCATTGCCTCAACACTTCCCACAACTTTTGCTAATCAGACTCCCATGGTAATTTACTCATCTTCTCCCCTTTATTTCTTGACTGGATATTCACAATTCAGTTTATATAAGAAAAACTCCTCTTGGCTTGACTGTAGAATGAAGGAGGTTTTGATGGGATAGTGCAAAATTTCAAACTCCCTGTCATAGCCTTTGGTGAAGATTCCACAATGGAAGAATCACAGTAAGTTGATGTTGATCAATTGGTGCTAATTAGGTAACTGTTGCATGAAAAAATGATTCAAAAACATCACTTTTGAATTTTAAAATATTATTAATTCTTTTTATATAGTTTTTTTTTGGAAATTGTCATTTTATTCTCGATAGCTATAGCCTACAAATATAACAGAATGAAAGTTGGTACTGCGTACTACGTAATTTACTAGCTTCGATCTATTTCGTTTTCAAATGCATAGCTTATACAAGTATATGAAGTTCCCTACTCATTTTGGTGTTTGGATTCACTATTTAATTGGGGATATTTTTTATACTTTAACAATATTACAGCACATATAACTTTTTAGTTTTTATCAAACACTTCAATTTTTGCATTTTAGTTAAATCACTTCTTTGCTCACTAAATTGTCTGTGCTTCTTTATTATGAAGCAGCAGTCAAGCCATGTAATTTTGGACGCGATTTTCAATATGGATCATTCGGAAACAACCTCTCTGTGCTTTAGTACAGGGGTAAGATTGTGTACATCCGACCCCCCTACCCCACCATAGGTGGGAGCCTTTGCGGCAGTGGGGTAAATGAAAATGAAATGAGTTACAATCACTTCTATTTTCATCTACTACCAACTTTTACTACAAAATACTTTTAAAAATTCACTTTTGAAAAGCACAAGCAAACCAAACACTCCCTTATAAAGTTATATTAACCCAAATATTCCATTTTACTTGATTTTTTCCGGTATCAAATCAAATCAAACTAAACAAAATTTAAATAGACAAGATTAAATTTAAACAAATCTGACATAGAAATATTTTGTTTTTATCCACTATGTTTAGATTTTAGATCAAGCATATACTCCGTATTTGTCATTATTTTATAATTTCACTGAAGCAATTTCTGATGATGTAATGGGGATGCAGGTGCTGTTGCATTTGTTTGGGAGAGTACGAGATGGAGGATGAATTGCAGCAGCTCCCACCCTGCAAACACATATTTCACTCTCATTGTATATCCCACTGGCTTCGTTCCAACTCTACTTGCCCTATCTGCAGATGCCCCGTCTTTACCGGCTCCGGCAAGCTCCCGTCGCCAACATATTCTGTACCAGTCCATTAGTTCCACCGCCGGGAGCCCGGGATGCAACAGTTTCATTTTAAACCCTAACAACCACATTGAATAATTGTCTATAATATATATCTCCTCATATGATTTTGACATTTTTAGGGACTTGGGCCATACTTGGATGTCATGACTTCTGGAGTTACTCTTGATCAACCAGTTCAAACCATGATCCATTTATTTGCGATGTAATTAAAAAAAATGAACTTATGAAGGGAACTTTAAAAAATGTAGTAAATTTGAGAAACATGAATTAAGGAGGGTTTGGGTTTGCTTAAAAAAAGCACTTTTCAGCTTTGGGCTTAAAAAAAGTTGAAAAGAGTGTTTTCAAATGACAGCTTCTGCTTAAATTAATCACTTAAAAGCTAAAAGCTGAAAGTAGGTAGAAGGGTGCTTTAAACTGCTTCTCACTTTTTCTATTACACAAAAAGTACTTATTTTACCAAACACTACCAACTTTTACTTTTCCAGAATCACTTTTTTCTCAAACACTACCAACTTTTACTATTAATCACTTTTCCCAAAATCACTTTAAAAAATCACTTTTTTAAAGTTGAAGCAATTGCAAACACTCCCTTAGTCAAATCTGGCATTCTGGCCTCTAATGGAAATTGAAAAGCCACCCAACTCACTCCATAAACCGACTACCAATGCCAAACATATAGAAACTCCAGAAACCACAAATGGGCATAAATCAAAGAACCAACACCAAACTTGGGGTTTCTCCTGTTCTCTGTCTTTCTTCCCTTCTTTGACTTGTAGTACACACTCATGAAGGTGCCTATGGCTTTATACTTGCGCCTGCAGTGCTCATAGAGCCCAACATCAAACATCCTCCAGAAGCTCTTCTCCGACAACTCAGACACTGCATATTGTGGTTGGAACCCGTGGTTTTCAATCAACCAATCCTCCAAACGCCGCACTGCCAATGAACCATCAAAGACTTCACCCCTAAGGACAGGGCCGGGTGCGTAGTACACTCCAATATCGGTGTACATTTGGGCATAGCTCGTGTCGCCCTGCCTTTTGTGCAGCTCAAATCCTGGTTCCGAATATATCATGGTTTTCAACGGGAGCCTGTAAAGTCTGTGTGGGCAAAGCCAGATGGGGTAAACCTGTTGTTTAATCGAAGAGTCATATAATGAACTGAGGATAAAGAGAATCAGTTTTCACTGTCAGTTTGATAGAAGAGTTTTTCATCTTAACAGCCAGATTTCAAGAAAATGCATTCTTACTGATAAAATATACTGACACAAAATAGAACTTTATGGGCAAAAACTATGATGCATACTTTGTAGTAGTGCTGGACTCGGGCCGGGCGGCCCGGCCCGGAACCGACCCGGCCCGGTTACTGTTTGGCCCGGCCCGGCCCAAGGCCCGGTGGGTCCCTCGGTTCGGTTCGGCCCGGCCCGGCTGCTGGGCGGTTCGGGCCCGGGCCCAGGTTTTGGTGAACCGGCCCGGCCGGTTCGGGCCCGGTCCGGGCCGGATTTTTTTTTTTTTTTTTTTTGAAATTTTTTTAAGTTTTAGGTTGGATTAGGTATTTTGGGCCATTTGAGGTGGTTTGGGATGGTTTGGGGTTGAGGGGTAGGGGTAGGGGATTATTAAATAGGGAACAAAAAAAAAAAAATTATTGGGCCGGTTCGGCCCGGCCCGGCCCGGTTTGGCCCGGAACCGGGACCGGAACCGGCCACCGGCGGTTCGGGCTCGGGCCTCCCTTTCCTGGCCCGAGGCCCGGCCGGGCCCAGGCCCGAACCGGCCCGAGTGCAGGCATACTTTGTAGCAAAATACTATCCCGGTCACTACCGTGTAAACATCAGTGGTGCCTATTAAAAATCACATTTTTATCCATTATTTTTTGTTTTGATCATACATTTGTCATTATTTCACTTATTATTGAATCATGTGGGCTGACAATTGAAGAAAAACAGTACATTCATAGTTTGGGGCTAAAGTGTCTTAAATAAATAGAAGAAAAGGACATATATACACTGATTTTCGGTATTGTTTTCTTTAATTGATTGAATATATGTATTTCATACGGAGTACGATAGTATATCTTAATATACGACTCACATGAAACCAAACAATACTTTAAGTAGTTAATGCAGATTACCAGATCTACAACCCACTTGGCAACACATGTAAAAGCAGAAGCGGACCGTGGTACAGTCCCAGGGACTACAGCCCCTCCAACAAAATTTATTTTTAGTGTATATATATATGAAAAATAATTTTCACCTCCTCGAAATATAATTTTTGTTTCAAAAAAGTATTTTGAATCCCCCAAGATGACTTTCCTGGGTCCGCCCCTGTGTAAAAGGTAGAAAGAAATAAATGTAAAAACATAAAAAAATATAGAGAACAATTAATAAAAACCCATTGATTTTTAAAAACACAAACAGGAAATGAATTTCGTTATAAAATGAATCTTGACCAAATATGCAATGCTTAAGAAAAATCCATGTTTGGTTCAACCCATAAATCTTTTTTAAATAAAATCCAAAACAGAGAAGAAAACATCAAACTTGAAGTGAAAATTTTGAAAATTGAGCAAAATATTAGTAACAAACCTTCAATGCTCAATTAATTTCAGATATAGAACAAAAGTACTGAGCATTGACAGGGATTTGATTGGAAATGACCTTACTTCAGAGTGAGGAGAAGGATGAAGGACGCAAAAATGAAACCAAAATTATGAATAACTTCAAAAAGATGTTTCACTGGGAAGTATAATTATTTCACTAGCTCAATTATATTTCACTACTGATGTTCTGAAATTATGAATAATGTTGAGATGTTCTGATTTCCCAAGTTATTTTCCCAAGTTAAGCTTCAAAAAGATTAAGAATGCAGTTAAACTTAGATGAACTAAAGACTTACGGCTGTAGATTCTGCAGAGGCTATTACACTACGGGTCCACGAGTATACCTTTTGGATTCGCTAGAGAGTGGAAACGTCTACCGCTGGTAGAATAGAAAAATGAAGGAAAGAGCTTTCATTAGACACATAAGAAAGAAAGCTCGTATCAGGGAGAAGAGAACTTACATTACCTGAGAAAAGATCAAATGTTTTCCTTCTTCGCTAGCGCTGGAGCATGGAGAGGTCTTCCAACACAATCAGCCGCTCAAGTTTCTTCGGCTTTGTTTGCAAGTACATGTCAATAAAAGCAATTTTTGAGAAAAAGTGATTAGTAATAAAAGTTAGTAGTGTTTGGTAAAATAAGTAAAAAGTATATCCTACACAAAAACCGAGAAAATAAAAGTTGTTAGTGTTTAGTAAAATACGGAGTAAGTGTTTTTTTCTTAAAAAAAGCCACAAACACTTTATTTAAATGTTTGCAATCAAGCCCTTATGCTTCTTCTGTTCTTAGCTAATAGCCACAGGTTTTGTTCTGTTGGGAGGTGTGGAGTGCCTATATGGTACATACACCCGGCCCACCAAAGGAACACAACTAAATAACTAATATGGGCCAAAAAAGATTCGGTGGCATTCTTGTAATTTAAGTGAAAAGTCACGACCTCTACTAAAATGAGCAATAGTGTACTTTTAGTGAGTATTTTACCTGTTGTATTGAGCATTAGGAGGGTAACAATGAGTATCACAATCTCTGCTTCATATCTTCTAATTTTTTTCTTTTTCGTATTTTTTCTTTTATAAAAACTTATTAAATTATATCTATAATTCACTCCTATTAATTTCAATATGTGAGTCTAATGTAATATGATATTTTTGAAATATGACATTTAAAAATGAGCATAACATCAATACCAAATGAGCATACATAACTTGCAAAGTGCACATTGATATGAAAATCGTAAAATTTGTTAGTTGAACACCATGACATTTTATTTGAACATCAAACCTCCGCTAATGAGATGAAAATCGTGGTTTTTATTGAGTGAGCATTAATATGACATTTTGAAAATGAGCATACCATGAGTACCAATTGAACATACATAACTTATAATATGAGCATTTGATATGAAGTCATAATATTTTTAATTAAGTATCAAACCATTTTCATTAAGCATCAAACTGCATGTACTGAGTATTAAAAACATACAATTGAGTTTGATGATTTGCACTCTCATATCTATAATTGACTCATATGTGAATCTAATGTAATGCAGAATACGATACTTTTGAAATATGCATTGATACAAATTTTTAAAATGAACATAAAAACAATATCAAATGAGCATACATAATTTACCATATGAGCAATGACATGAAAATCATAAATTTTGTTAGTTGAGTATTAAAAACATTTTCAATGAGCATCGAACTTTCTAAATTGAGTATTAGAATCGCAACTGGGTATGATTAATCAAATTGAAAGAGGTAGAATTATTTTGAATCAAATCTTCATTGCACTTTCAATATGTCAATCTAATGTAATATGACACTCTTGCAATGTGTATTGATATGATATTTTTAAAAATGAGCATAACAATAGTATCCAATGAGCAAACACAACTTACAAAATGAGCATCTGTATGAAAATTGTAAGCTTTGTTAGTTAAAATCATGTAAATATGTCATTGAGTATTATGATATATATGCTTCTGTATCTATAAGCAGTTCGACCAAATGTGAATCTAATTTAATATGATATTTTTGAAATATACGTTCATATAATATTTCAAAATGAGCATTATATTGGTACCAAATGAACATATATAACTTACATAATGAGTATCGTAACATTTAAAAACTCATTTATATATGTTCATTACTTTTATGCATTATACTCATTTACTCATTTAGATTTAAAAAGAAATTCAATTTGTCAATATAACACGTTGTCATCTGGTCAAAAATACAAGTTGAAACCCCACACACTATTAAAATATAGCTAGAAATTGTCATAGAGGGGATTGAGAACTAAAAAACAAGAGCATCAAACTCAAGTCTAAGGACATCGATCCAGCTGTAGAAGGCCAAACCGCCACAACCTGATTCTTCTTCATCAGGGCATCAGCGAGCGAGCAGGCGAGCAGCAACATCCGTCCAGCGTCTCCTGCATCAACTCCCAGAATCCCAGCCATCGATCAGTTCCCAGAAGACTTTCAATCCACCGTACCAATCTCTACCTCTGGACACCAAATCAGTTCTGCGAACTCTCCTAATTAATTGCAAAAATACCCGGTTGTACGGTGAGAACCGTACAACCGGGTGTAGGATATAATTGGGATGGGGTTTACTTTCCGGTTGCCGGGCGTGGATTAGGTATTCAATTGGTCTGATATTTGATCCTTTTTGTCTTATCTAGGTAATAATCTATTCAAATTTGACTTGAGCTTGTTTGATAACTCCCTTTTTCCGCTTTTCGGACTTATCAATCAATTTTTTTTTTTAAATACATAATTTTTTATTCTGCGCATTGAATTACGTAATTATAAGAAAAAATAATATTACAGTTATTTTTGTTACCGTATTGACTGAAATTACTGCAGAAGATTATTTTTGTTATATTTCATATAACTTTTAATTTATTTTATTAATAAAATACTGGAGTATAATTTAGATATAGTTTTTTCATAACTCAGCAGAATCAATCCATCTAACCATTTCAGCCAAATCTTCAAAAATTTCAGCATAACCAACAAGCATAGTCAGATATTACAAAACGGGCTCTTGATCTAATAAACTAAAACCAATCAAATTTAAAACTTTCTGACTTATGCAGACATGTATTATTGTAGCCATAATTATATAACTTCATCTTTGCAAGAATGCCAGTTATCGGTAACCCATTCAAATCAAGGATTTGGGACCTTTTTTTTTTGAGAACGGATTTAGAACTATTTAATAATTGAAAAATTGACAAATCAATAAAAGTAATACTGATAAAGTTAACCGCAACCTAGTCCGTCAATAAATCTTATCTCTCACCAGTTTATATGTATTCACCCAGTCAATACAATTTTTCCCTACAACCAGCACCGTCAATATATTAACGCAACTCATTTTTTTTAATAAATGCATAAATCCTTACGTTTTTCATTACACTTCATTTATGTGACAATTTTATTTGTACCCATAATTATGATTTAAAAATTTAAAAATTCTCATATAAAATAAAAATAAAAAATATGAATTAATTAATTTTGTTACTTCAGCCCTATTTTTGGGCCTAAAAGTCACCATAACAGATGAAGCTTCGATTTTTTTAAAACTTTACAGATATTATATCGGTGTCATATGAAAGTCGAAAGATCATAAATAGTTACTACGTATGAATTCTGATAATTTTGTTTATAAAAATTGAATCATAAATAAATAAAAAGGTTATACTGCTTTTTAAAAAAATTGAGATTTTATTTTGTGTGGAGTCTTCTTCTTTTTCTTACTAGTTACTTGGTAGAGTAGCCGTTACTTAAATTCCTCTATGCATGTGAGTGAATCGACCTAACTATTTCCCACCCTAAAGGCCCCCAACTAACTCTAGCACCCTCATATACCATTTTGAGCTTGGATTGCAACTCATTTGGGGTTTTCACGACTCTCATTGCAGATAGCCTAATTGATCGATAACTGAATTTATGGTTCAGTTTGATTTTCGATTGTCAGTTATGACGATTTGCTCGATTATGTGCTCACCCAATCACCGCTAATAGAACTATTGTAGAAGTAGTTTGATTTCTTTATGTTTATTGTTGGCTTGATTCTTGCGAGTTTGAAATTTTGGGCTTGGTCCAGTACCTATTGTAAGTGCAACACTGTGAACCCGTACTTGTTTGAGATTGCTTCTTTGTTAATTTTCTATTGAACTCTGCAATTTCAATTAGATATGGGCTTTAATCATTTGTAGCCCAATGCAGAGAGGCACTGTTTGTTTGTTTGTTTTTTTGCATGGCCGACCCTGAGTGGCCATAATTATTTCGTTTTACATACATAAAAAATTATACTCCCTCTGTCCCAATATAAAAGGCACACTTTTCTTTCCGGTCCGTCCCAATATAAAAGGCACATTTCCCTTTTTGGCAAACAAAACAGTGTCAAACAGTGCCAAACAGTGCCAAACAGTGTCCAAACAGTGCCAAATAGTGTCTAAACAGTGCCAAACAGTGTTCAAACAGTGTTCACCCTTAAAATGTCCTCAAACGCAAATGTGCCTTTTATATTGGGACGGAGGGAGTATTTAACATTATGTTACAAATTGTTAAGTAACACAAACTTGTTTAAATGTCAAAGTTTATAAATCTGAGGTGAAGATTGATTGAATAATAGAGCGTACAAATTTTAGGAGTTCATGGAGTGTCTTCAACTGAAAATTTGAAAAAAAAAATTGTAGTCTATGAATTAAATAAAAATCAACTCATATATTCTATCATTTTGTATCAATAGATTTCTATGAAAGTAACGTGAATTGAATGGAATGCTAAATGGCCAAAGTTTGATAAACATCTACGAAGTTTTGTTTTGAATTTGAAATTCATAATAATCCTTATAAGTTCTCTAGATAAAAGAAATCATAAAATTTTCCAAAAACTTTTTTCCTAAATAATATTTAATTGGTAGCATTGAAATTTTGTAGAATATTTAAAATTCCAAATTCAGGACTTGAAATTCTTTGAAATTCAAAATACCAGGTATCATATGGAACACTCACTCAGTATTCTAAAAGTCCTCAAAAGGCACCGCAAAAGCAGGCCTAAGCTTGAGGCGTTTATCAAAAGCCTCGTACAGTCGTACACCAGTCTTACGTTACAAAATGCGGCCAATTGCTTTGTTGACCAAGCTAGGCACGAGTTGGTATTCGCTCTCTAGAACCAGATTTGTTGCAGAATTGCACCAAAGCTAGCTTACACATGGAAGGTCCCTCTTATATGTTTCATTTTATAAGAATGAATGTAGAGAATATGTTTACTAAACCAATGTGGGACACTGCCTTCATAGCAATACGTAGGAACAAACTCCACAAATTGTTTGTTTAATTATATTGAATAGAAAATGGAAGGACGACTATAATACTTCCGGAGTTCCGGTGGGATGGTATAAGTTTCCTAGACTATAATATTGCAAGAAGAAATCTCACCTCAGGTTTATAATGCAAAAAAACAAACTAAATATCTACTCATATTAATTTTTGTGCATTTTTTGTTGGATAAATATTGAAAAATAAAGTGTAATTGTTAAATCACATGGTCCTTAATTATTTTATAAACAAATGGGATTGGAAAATTCTTTTATTCAATATCAAGAACAGAATTACAATAGGAGGAACAAACTCTCACACTCAACTATTACAAAAAACCAATCCTCACCAATACACTTCTACTCTAAGTGTATTTTCACTCTTCACACACTTTTCTCACTTTCTAAACTGATGATATGAACAACAATGGAGCACTCTATTTATAGGACTAGTTTGGAGACAAGAGGAAGTTGCATCCAAGCTTCCAAGTTATCTCCATATCTTCTCCCACACCTATTTGTTGGATAGCTCTTTCCAAGAAGTTGCCTCCATGTTAAGGTGTCTCTTGGCAACTTCCAAGAAAGAAGGTGGAAGATACCTACAAATCTCCCCCTCCACCTTTTTCTTTATTTCTCTCGTTCCTGCGATGCTCGCAGGCTCCGCCTCGCTAGCAACAAGTATCCATTCGGATGTGGAATACTTTCTCTGTGGAACTATGCCTCGCATAGAACGTCGAACATGTGTACCTTCAGCTTCGTCTTCAGATGAAGGCTCCCCTTGCTGAGGAACATCATCACCGTGAGTATCATCATCACCTGTTGAACCATCACTCTCTTGTTCAGTAGAATCATGCATCTCCTCGTCGCT